CGGGAAGCAAACGTGGCTCCATATCATGGACAAAGATATCTAAGGCAACGGCATCGTAATTCAGTTCTCTTACAACATCGCTTGACAATTCTCCCCTTTGTTCTGGAGTGGGCAAACCGAAGTCTGTCATTTTCATCCCAGATAAATTAGTTATTTTGTTCTCTATTAACTTTAAAGCCTCATTAACTATCAATTCTATGTGCGTACCTTGGAGTCTATGAGCTATATCTTCTGATAATGCAACCTTGTACTTGTCCCACAGTTGAAGTGGATTTGAGAGACCGCAAGTACTTACTATAACTGCAAACAACTCTCTGACTTTAGCTGGTGATCGGCACAGCACGGCTTCATCCATGGTAGCGTCCCAATGGTCGTCACTTTCTAAAAGCCCACGTGCCTCACAGGCTTTTCTAAATGTAGCATGTTCTTGTCCACCCACTGTTTTAAGATCGTGGAAGCTTGATGGGCCCCGTACTTGATTAAGCAGCATGCGCAAGCAGTAGCACTCAAAGTTGCTGACATGTACGGTATATATACGACCTAGTGCGTCTGCAGCTTTTACTCCCGGCCAGTTCTCAACAGGCTTTCCTTGTTTGCGGCGCTTCCACTCTTTCGCCGATGCATTCCAGATATAATAACGTGGTACTTCAACATAGAGCAAAGTTTTTGAAAATTCATCATTTTGACAAAGTTGGAAGAATGCAGTTAAAGTCGTCATAGGAGGAGTAGCGATTCTGTCGTGGAGATTTTGATCATTGAAGAAGACACGCTCGCCATTGGGCAAGTGCACCGCGAGATGGGTTACAGTGGGGTATCTCTCGTGCATTGGAAATCCCAATATACGCCACGCTGCTTCGTTACTGCTCACGTAACGTCCAGCTCTGAAACTCTGCACTTCATCCCTAGAATCAATGTTCACATTATCGGATTGCCTAACATTAAATATTGCCTGATCATTCCCTTTGTTAATATATTTGCAAATGTATTTTATGGCCTGTACAGAGCCACAATACTCCACATTCACATGGGCAGTAAACATTTTAAGGAGTAGGGGATTATATGGCACAATCCAGCTGTTATCTATTACAACTTCTTCTCCACCACGTATTCGAATAGTAGCTGTGCGTCCTCCATCCTCTGGCGCTGCACGTCTATACAGAGGGTAACCATTCGCATTTGTTTGAGTGGCATCTAGTAGCGCCCGAGGGTACGTCTTTGTGCACTTACTGTCCTTCATACAGGGAGCTGATGTATTATAATTGCCACATGGTCCGTGGATCATATGTTTTAGAACTGCGTCATACAGTTTTTTGTCGGTTTCAGGATCTGGGATTTCAGCACTAATTATGTCATCCATTTGATTTAGACGCAATTTTTCTTTAAGCCACAGTAAAACATGTACGTGTGGTAAGCCACGCTTCTGCCACTCTATTGAGTACATAAAGCACTGGCAATCTCCAAATACTTTACCTTTCGTGAGCAGAGATATAAGTTTTTTCACTTTCAATTCAAAAACTCTGGCAATGAGGTCGTGGCGATCTGTAGCTTTCTGACCAGGCATGAGTTCATCAGTTATCTCATTCCAAGAGGGGTTACACGTAAACGTGATGAATAAGTCCGGGCGTCCATAGTTACGGACATAAGCAAATGCATCTTGCGTGTACTCGTGAAGATATCGAGGGCTGTTAACAAAAGTTGACGGAAGAATCACCATCTGTCCTAAATCATTAGGATTCACATTGTTGTCGTTTCTTACAGCATCCTGCAGGTGTATGTAATTTTCAGCCCGTAACTTTTTCTGGTTCAATGAGATAAACCTCAAACGTTCGCTTTCTATTTTTACATACATATCTACCAGAAATTGATGTAAAAGTTTATTGCAGCGCAGAAGTAAATTGAATTCATTTGCACACACCATGATTTGAAATGCATAAAAATCCATGCATGACACTTTTTTATTTGGCAAAGGCTGTCTAGTGAGTGGGTTAATTTGGGGTATATCAAAGTGGTATCCTTCTTGGCCATTCCAGAAAATTATCGGATACTGAAGGGCATCATAGAACCTATGCGTGTCCGCGACACGGGATAGCTTGTCATCGCGGGCGTGCAACACAATGTCTCTACTTGTAGAATGATCATTGCCCACTACAATGGCTGCCACTTCGTTTATGGTGGGTAAGTTGTATCGTCTCTCATGCTGCCCATGAGGGACGCGATCAGGGTGGATTATTAATTTGCAGCTTTCATCCGGCATAACCTCTATCGCAGTTTTAAACTCTTTGATTAAATTATTATGCTCATGAAGGACTGTCTGTACTTTTCTTAGCGTTGGTTTTTCAACCCCTGGTACGATTTCAAATCTTCTATCAGTTTCTGCTTCCTCATCTCCATAAAAATATATCTGCAAAAAGTTTGGCTGCATATTTGGTGCAGGAAGTAGGGACCCAATTTTGTGGTAGACTTGCCCTTTAATTGTAAAGGTTGGTGAAAACCCAGGCATGTTCACTATTGTATCTGCCCCAAACGATGTCATGTGAAAGCAGGTGTTGTACCGCCTAATATTTTTCAAAAATCGCTTTGACTCATTAGTCTCACCGAGGAATAGCTCTTTCATAGGTTGTACTGGCTCTTGTGGCCGATGAATAGCAACCTTACCACCAGCACAACACATCCCTACAGGCTCCTCCTTCCACTTTAAAGCTCTGCAGTATCGACATTCAGTATCCATTCGCCCAACTTTTATCAAAACATGACTACTGTAATCTAGAGTTGGGTCGTACTCTAAGGCAGCATTTTCAAAGACGCCCCACGTATTCCTGTGGAACGTTTGCCGCCGTTGGGCAGCCCTTGCCGCAATAACGTTTCTGCGAAATTCAGCTTCCTCAGCAGTTTCTGTAGCTCGCTGGGATGCCATATGAACAGCGTGTTGTTGTCTACGTCGTTCATTCTGCTCCGTCGTTTCAGCTACTCTCAAGCTGGCCTGCCGGTGGGCTTGATCTGATAATCTAAGCTGACGTTCCTCTTGTGTTTCTACTGCTCTGTGAGCTGCCAGTCGCTGAGCATTCTCATTTAATCGAAGCTGACGTTCCTCTGGTGTTTCTGCTGATCTGTGAGCTGCCAGTCGCTCAGCATTCTCCTCTAGTCGAAGCTGAAGTTCTTCTGGTGTTTCAGCTACTCTCAAGCTGGCCTGCCGGTGGGCTTGATCTGATAATCTAAGCTGACGTTCCTCTTGTGTTTCTACTGCTCTGTGAGCTGCCAGTCGCTGAGCATTCTCATTTAATCGAAGCTGACGTTCCTCTGGTGTTTCTGCTGATCTGTGAGCTGCCAGTCGCTCAGCATTCTCCTCTAGTCGAAGCTGAAGTTCTTCTGGTGTTTCAGCTACTCTCAAGCTGGCCTGCCGGTGGGCTTGATCTGATAGTCGAAGCTGACGTTCCTCTTGTGTTTCTACTGCTCTGTGAGCTGCCAGTCGCTGAGCATTCTCATTTAATCGAAGCTGACGTTCCTCTGGTGTTTCTGCTGATCTGTGAGCTGCCAGTCGCTCAGCATTCTCCTCTAGTCGAAGCTGAAGTTCTTCTGGTGTTTCAGCTACTCTCAAGCTGGCCTGCCGGTGGGCTTGATCTGATAGTCGAAGCTGACGTTCCTCTTGTGTTTCTACTGCTCTGTGAGCTGCCAGCCGCTGAGCATTCTCATATAAACGAAGCTGACGTTCCTCTTGTGTTTCTGCTGCTCTGTGACCTGCCAGCCGCTGAGCATTCTCCTCAAGTCGACGCTGACGTTCTTCTGGCGCTTCTGCTAATCTGTGAGCTGCTTGTCGCTTGGCTTTTCGCGAACTTTGGGATAAATTTGACTTACGTTTCTTCGGCATTTTAAGATGTATTTCTTGAATTCAAAACAGCAGTTAACATCGAATCCATAATGACGTGTCGATATTTAGATGCGTAAACCAAAATAAAAACAAAAAAACAAAATATAAACAAATAACTAAAATGGCAGCTGTATTTCTTTAGGATATTTAAATCACATAAACGTTACCTTTAAGTGCTGCATTCTGAAGTTAACCTTATGAACTATTTGGAATGTCTGATTATGTTGCATGATGTAAAGCCTTTTTTAGTTGGAACAGCTGACTGAATTCTTTAATTCCCTTTAAATATGAATACCCATGAGATTAACATTGGGAACTACAGAACCACTGGGGCGGAGCCCGAAAGGATTTTTGAGATAAGAATATGCTTTAATGTTAATCGGGAATGTGAGCTATCATCATGCCAATTTGTAGCCCAATCCGTCCAGTAGTTTATGCGTGATTGAGCAACACACACACAAACACACACACAAACACACACACAAACATACACACAAACTCACAAACTTTCAGATTTATAATATTAGTAAGATTGTTAGAATATAACCAGGTCTTCACTCAAGGAGGAGAAGTTACTAAATATTTGTCCTTTTGTAAATAATATCCAAGGTTCATTTTGAGACTAGATGAAGTGTCCAAGGTCTATGTTTTGGCCACGAATGATCTACCTGTGAGTAATATTTCAGCCCAGTCGGTTCGGTATATTTTGCTTCCATATTGGTCAGACAAATTTTTTTACATAGACAACACTTAATTTTGAACTATCACAGATACCTACTTAATTGCTGTAACTAATCTTATCCCCATACAACAGTAACAATGTTGTATCCTAGATCAAGGACATAAAATGGCTTCATTCAATTTCAAACGAAATTAATTGCAAACACGATAATCACTCGAAATTCCAAATTAGTAAACTTTTAATAGCTGTCGTTGAATCACGGATGAACGCAAGCTCACGATGATAGACATAATAACTGCCAAATATAACCTTTTTTTCCGTCCTCAAACTCTTTGGGAATAAAGATTTCCATCAAACCCCTAAACATATAAAAATTTTTTTTTAAATTTTCTTACAAATTAAAGACATTATAATTGGTTATTCTATTTATTTATCCAGTTTGATGTTCCGCAGACTGTTCGCAGTGAAGCGGTGTGCCCGGTGCCAAGCAGGCATCTCTGCCTCAGAGCTGGTGATGCGTGCCAGAGACGCTGTATTCCATCTACACTGCTTCTCTTGTGCGTCGTGTGGCATATTGCTCACCAAGGTATTCCAATACATTTATTTATGAAACATATGCCGTTACAGTCATATATTATCCTTAGTTGAAGAATTAAGGTTTCTTAAACTACAAAAAGATAGTTCTAAGGCTAAATTTACTTTTGGATTTTGGTCTTTGGGAGATGACCGCATGGCTGAACAGGTGAAAATACTTATAATCTTTCAGATTCCATCTGAAATCTGACACGTTGGCCAGTATGTTTACCAAGTCAATGATGTGAATATCTCCCGCCAAATATCCGACAGTATACGAGTGTATTGCAATCAGCCAGAGTTCACTGCTAACTTTTGTTAACGCCAACACCAGTGGACTCAACTTCTTATTTACTTTTTCGACAATGTCAAACTGTTTTATGATAGTAGTGTTTCTAACAACCTGGTCTTTGGTTTCACTTAACCTAATTTTTTTAACGAATTTTCAACATATTTTGTACTATCATGTCAGTAAAGAAGAAACTCCCTTTATTTCAACACCACTCGACTATCTTCTTTTTGCGTTTATATTTTCTCCCTCACCGTTTATCTTTCTTCCAGGGTGATTACTTCGGTATGCGTGACGGCCTGGTCTACTGCAGACCTCACTACGAACTCCTTCGCCACCGAGACTTCTGCGGCGCCGCTGAACTGGAGGCTCTCTCCCCGGCCCACTGGACAGCCGTCGCCGCCGTGCAGAAGGGACGTCCCAGGAAGAGGAAGCTAATGTCGTCGCCGTCCCCCGGCCAAGACAGTGTCTCAGATCTGCCGGTCAACATGAGGATTCCACCCGGAGCTCTAGGTAATTCTGCAACAGAGATTAGTGTACATGTATGGAAAATAGACTACTGTCAAAGTGGACAATCATATTGAACTAGTGAAAATACTGACCGATGTTTCGGATGCGTTGCAGGATCCATTTGAAACTTCGGCCAGCATTTCCCCAATCCCTTGAATACCTAGATTCGACAATTAATCATGAGAATGTATTATGTTTCATATAGCCATAGTTATCTATGATCATTGCGAGTGTCTATAAAATTGGCATTGAATATGGCAAAATCAGTAACTATTTATAACAAGTCCTAATAGTAACATTTTGTACGATATGCCAAAAATCCAAATCTATACACGCATACATCGCAGACCCTTGCTAAGTGAAATGGAACCCAATAATAAAACATAAAACATATACATACATTTGATTTAATGTATACTGAATAGGCAAGAGGAACCTGTGTTTCGACCCACAGTACAATGAGTTTAGAATTACGAAACAAATAACACCCCACCCCTATCTCACCCTAGTTCAAGCCTTCAGCCGGTTTCACATACATAAATAATCTGCTACAGTTGGAGAGTTGTTGCCAATTACAGCTCGACTGTTGTTTGTTGTTTGAGCAACACTCCACTGTTGTTGTTGTCAGTTGTCAGTTGTCAGTCTCAGACTCTGACATCGGCCGTCCTCAATTATTCACCGAGCACCAGATGCCGCTTTTCCACGCTGTCACGTTGTACATTCCTTATTTTTCCAAGTTGAAAACGTCCCAGTTTGAGAGGATTTTGTTTTCAATCGGTTCAAAATAATTGTGTGAAAAGTACAGATGCGGTTTATATTTAATTTGAGTGCTTTCGAACTTCGTGTCATGTTTCGTGGTATTTAAGAGGTGGACGTAGTTATTTAATGAAGTAGAAGTTGGGCTGAATAAAATTTATTGATTCACAATAAACTGTATGTTATGTGTTTAACGACAATGACATTTTTAAGATTTTTTGTCAGGACAAGTTTCAAACAATGGTCTTGTCACTGTGTAATGTGAATTATATAAAAAAAAAAAAAAAAAAAAAAAAAAAAAAACAGAAAGCGCACCTTCGGTGTGGCTTTTGGGTCGCCGGGATTTTATCCCCCTGGAATTTTACCCCCTGGGCAAAGCTGACGTAGTAAACTAAGCGCTCAAAAGTTTGTTCGCGGACGGAATTTGACCCCCGCGGATTTGGAAGTCTAATGAAAATAGACAGAGCGTGATTAATTAGACTAGCAATAAAAACCGGAATTTTACCCCCCGAAATTTTATCCCCGGATTTTTACTCCCGGATTTTTACCCCCCGGAATTTTACCCCCTGGTTTGTGACGTCACGTTTGCCCAGGGAGTAAAATTCCAGGGGGATAAAAATCCGCTACCCCTGGTTTTTAGGACGCAGAACGCTCAATTTTAGTATTTATTTGAATATATAGTTTGATTAGCTAAATAGATGGTGGTGACATTACAATAATAAGTCATCCAGCACTTTTTCATTGTATCAACACAAACATAACAAATTTGTATCCTATTGTGACTGAACGAAATCGATCACCGTTGTAGCGTCTTTTAAATCTATTGATCTTGACATTTCAGGTGTAGAAGTGTTAAAAACCGTGCTTTATTATCTTTGTGAAACAATAATTAAAATATAAAGCCTAATTTTAGAAGAAACGTTGAACTGCTATCACTCTCTATGTCTGTTTGCACTTACTCCGTGTTAAATCACCGTGTACACTCCATTACTCTATGGAGCCATTGCCGAGATTCCCTCCAAGCCACGTTAATATTCTTCGCAGGTCTCTTCACTGAGGCGGAACCTTTCTGTCAATGGTTCAACAATAGCCGGACGTTGAACAGCACAGAGTAAAAAACCGCTGCCATTGGCTGTCTCGGTGTCGACTGATAAAATGGAAAACAAACCAGTAGTGAATGGTAAAAATCGTAACTCCTTTGTGAGCACTGGAGCAATATTGGCCTTTACTTGTGTAGGTTTTGTTACATACACTACTGTAAACTGTACTGTATAAACTTTGACTATGGATGTAAAAGTGCAATTTCGTTGTTAAAGTTTTAGTAAGTTGTTTGAAACAACAAAGTGTTGTTTAGGTTCTTTAATATAGACTTTTGGACGATTAGTTGTCTGGAGTAATGATACTTTCTGGTTTCATTAATTAACACTTTGGAAGGGGGGTAGATTATGGGGGGATATTCTGGATATTAAAACCCCCAAACTACTAAGCACTGTAACCTGTGCTATAAAATAGCGTAGTTTATTCTAGCTAAACGGATCCAAAAAGATTATGTAAACAATACTATGTTATGCAATAACAATATCGTATTAGCAAAAACTACGACAGGAATAGCACTATGACAGGAGCTTTGTTTAAATTAACATGGTTTAGGGGGAAATAAAACCTAATCGTATTTTTAAGTTTAGACAAAGGTTGAGCCAGAGTTTTACATAGATTAGGTGGCAACCTCAATTAGGCTTCAATTACCGGTCATAACATCTAGTAGAATTGGTAAATTGTGTATCGGCTCGCCACCGTATCGACATAATTACCCGAGACATGTACAAAGGCGTGAACTAAGTGGCCGATAACCACAGGGCTTATCAGGGGCATTACAGGGCCTTGTTAGAACTTAAAAAGCGTTTAGAAAAATGCCAAAATAATATCCCGCTTTGTTTGAACCTAAAACGTGGTCATGCGAGTCTGCGATTACTTTTAAGTTACCCTGCAATAGTAACGGATAATTTCGATATCTTTGTTGTTATTAAATTCTAAAATAGAAATATAAACTATTCAAAAGTTTGAGTCATTATCTGGGCCCAATGCCACTTCTGGCATATTTTCGTATTGTTTGTGTGTCCATAATCAGTTTCGTTACATTGAATATTTACCACAACAAAAATCCTTTAATCAATGTATAAAGTTAAGTAAAAAAATATAATTGTTTTGAACTTCATTTTTTTATTTTAACTTATTATTTTTTGTTGCACGGATTTTTTTGTTGCATAGCTTTTAAACGACTAAAACTATTAAAACTATTAGGACAATTTTAAGGTACTGTACATACCTTTACGTCAAACAACAAAGTGTGGAAGTCAAACTCACGACATGTTTCGCCTATGCATGCATCGTTAGGTGATCTACTATCATAAGAATGTTTCATCTATTAAGAGTCTTTAATTAACATTCAAATAAGTAAATAGCCTACCCAAAGAACAAAAAAATACGAAAAAACATAAAAAATGTTCGCACGTAAACACATAATGGAACACATAGATGAAGCATTCTTGATAGGAGATCACCTGACGATGCCTGACTAGGCGAAACATGTCGTGAGTTTGACACTTTGTTGAACTTTTGAGGTATAGGTATGTACCATATGATTGACCAAAACAAGCCAAATAGCTGGATAAGGAGATAAAATATGACTGTCCACATTTCAAAACAATATTGAAGCTATTTTAATTGTTGCTTATAAACTACAGTACAAGCAAAACACTCCTATTCCGCGTCTGGTGTCTTTTTGACCTTTGCTCGCTCTTCAACCTCGCCCAATACCGTAATTAATCTTGAACTCTTATTGAAACAAATATTTTTAGGATTAATGCATTTTCAAGTCCAAAAATTGTGTTCAAACATGAACTATTTGTATTTAAAACTGCTATTAATGCTTTTTTGTAGTTTCAAGGCTACCGAACGAATATAGTTTACTGTGCGACACTCTTTCGAATGGTTCAGAGTTCACAAGCCAAATAAAACTAAAAGCACATAACATTCCTTGGAACCTCTCCTCGTGAGTGTTAAAACCTCCTCAGCACGCCTTCGATAAAATGTAAAATAGCACTCCTCTCGGCCATATTTAGCAGAAGCCGCGGCGATCGCGCAGATAGCACGATGGTAGCCAATAGAAGCCAGCGGCCACCGAGAACGCGCTATCGCGGTCTCCGAGAATCGATTTCGGTAGTGTAGCATCGAACCGTTACCAATACCATAAAACCGGGGACATGTTACGCGGCGACCGGTCCCGGACGTTTATAGAGGCCGGTTCCCGTACGACCGCTTTTATTTGTCCTTTTAAGAAAATAAAGGAAAGGAAGAGCTGCCTGAAAAACGAGTCGGATTGTGATGTTTATTTATCACGAACGTGGAGATTTCAATGGTGCCGGTGGGTGGGCCACCTACTGGCATTTCCCTACCGTCGGTTCGGCAACTGTTGACGCTATAAATCGGTGTGATAAGAGACATTGTGGAGAATGTGGTGGCCACAAAACAATGACCACAGCACTGCTGACAGGCTTTGTGCTGGGGTCATGGATGGTAGGAGGTCTCTGACTACACGTAACACATACAGGGATCTAGCTTACAGGGATCAAACAAAATTGAATTATCTTAAAATATTTTACGCAGTTGTCGCTGCAGTCTTTTTTGCTTTTTTGTACCCATTACTTCATCAGGTTCAGGTACATCCAATTGTACGATTCGTCAATACAGTAGTAAAAATTAGTGCTAGGCCTATATACCTTTTTAACATATGGCAATTAATGGCTGTAATTATTTCAAGTAATTCTTTTATTGAGTAGTGACTGCGTTTATTTATTCATAAATTTAAATATATATTTTCTAGATGATTATGTTACTCTACTTTATCCAACAAGTCTATACAGTTTTACTATGTTTGCTTCCAAGAGATGCTCCACGGTGGGGACCTGTCTTCCTCCATGGAGTCCCTCGCGTACGACTCCTCGGTGACGTCACCGGGTGTCCAAGGGTCGCAGCAGAGGACCAAGAGGATGAGGACGTCCTTCAAACACCATCAGCTGAGGACGATGAAGTCATACTTCAACATCAACCAGAACCCTGATGCCAAAGATCTCAAGCAGCTAGCGCAGAAGACCGGCCTATCGAAAAGGGTTTTACAGGTATGGCAGTTCAATGATTCAAAAGAGTTAATTGTGGATGTTTCAAATCGGTATACAATTATTACAAAGAATTTTTAAGTGTAATTGATGGTTATTGGTAACATTGGTTATCATGATGTCATCACTCTTGTGTCATGGTCACACTACCAAACGTGAATGGAACATTCTTCAACTTAATTTTAAACATATCGATCGGTGAACAGTGCTTGTATTTATACGCGTGAGTCCCGTGTGTATTGTTTCTTTCCGTCCTTTAAAGTTTGATACTAAGTTGAACAATGTTCCATTCTCGTTTGATAGTGTGACCATGACACACCTTTGACGATGTCTACTAGATGAATATGAAGTGTTTTATCCTCGTTTGTTGAAGTGACCATGGCACTAGTGTTTCAAAATCATGGTAATCAATCAATTGCCTTGAGGATTTTTTTATGTTTAGGTACGTAAACCACTGAATATTATAATTTCAAACAATTTTTTTAGATAATAATTCAGGACATATTTAAAAGCCAAACCCCCTTTGAAGAATCACTGTGACGTGTCGAAATAGCTAAGTCACCCTGACAGGCATAAAACTCATCCACAGCTCTACCAATGATTTTTGATGGTCCCAAATTGAATCCAGTTGTCCTTGATCATTGGGCTTGTAATACATGGTCCTGGCTGAAGAAACCGCTTTTATTAGTATTAGGCTTCACTGATCACTACATCCTATACATATTCTCCCAAAGTACGTTGCTGTCTAGTGAATTGATTCCGCCACATAGCTTTCAAATGTTCAAGTTAACTTGTAAATTCTCTTCACTGAAGTTTTACCACTATCCGATGCCACCCGTATTTTATAGCTATCAATATTCGTTGGAAGTGTAATATTAGGTATTATTTAGCAAAAAAGACCCGTAGTTCCGAGTCCTGACCGCGAGGAAATGAGGGCGACGTCCCACCTGGCCCGCACTGGACGGCTCAGTATGCATTTAGTCCTGACTATTATGCAAGCCATCAATTAACCGTAATGCAATCTAAATGCACTTGTGCTAAATGCAACGTAAATGGTTCAACCGCCGTTTAGGAAACCCCTTACTAATTATACGTGTTTTTAGATAAAGATAATCTACTTCTGGTCTTCGAACTTTGAAGCAATGATACACAAAGTGTAATGCGGGCTGTTTCTAAGTTTTCCAATTTAATTTAAACTTGTAATTGTAATTTGAAATACATTGAAATCTATATATTAAATACACAGTTGCAATTTAAAATAAATTAAGTAGTTCTAGGTGTACATTTTATCTTGACTATTTTGGGTGGATTATTAATCCTAACTTAAACTATGTACTTTCTTTTTGTAGCCATTAAAAACACCAACACACAAGGCCATTAAGTGTTTGGCTAATTTTGTTTTGAAAAAATTTAATGTTTCAAAGCAAATACTACTTTTGAATTTGGATGCTATTTTATCAGGCTTTCAGTTGTTAAAACAGAATCCAATGTACACAAATCCAAAAACAAAATTGATCTCCTATCTATTGTGTTGGTTATAGATAATGAAATGTATAACTAAATTTAAAAGTTTAAAAAGGCCAATATATAATAAATATATAATTGGTTATAGATGTTGATTACTTAACATCAGTTTTTACATAAAAAATCGACCTAAGCTTATAGTTCGTTTACAAAATTTAAGGTGTTTGAGGGGAAGATTCTCTTCTATTTTTTGCTTATGTAATATGTTGCAGTTTATTGACGTTTTAAAGGTATGATCAAAGGCAGGGGATAAATTTCTTCCCCTAAAACCAACCTAAATTTTTTGAACAGAGTGTGGTAAAAAACAATACGTATCGCAGTTTCATAAAACTTTGAGTATTCATAGATTTCTGTAACTGTATGGCAATTTTTATAAAATATTAATGTAACCTACATCAAACCAAAAACAAAATTTATTCCCAACCTACATAGTGTGTTTACTGATTTATTTAATTGTGAATTTACAATTTATTAATACACTTTCAAATATTTTACTATGATACGACAATTGTTACGCAACATCCCCTGAACATTTTCCCACAAGTGTCGGAGTGGTGTACCAGCTAGATTAGTCGATAGCTCACGGACTACCCCTCTCACCTACAGCCCTCTCAACCCACCCCAAGTACCATTGTCTGCTACTTCACTCATACAAACATGGTCACCTCACCAGTCTTCTGTTCTCATGCTCATTGTGAGCTATTCCTCATCTGTTTTCTCTTCTGTATTGTAAAACGTACTTACATTCACCGTTGCACGGCTGTCCAATTAGTTTCTGTTCGTTTCCATTACCTATGCCATTGTTTGATCTTTCCGATCTCCAACTCCACCCGCGCTTGTATGTTGGATTGAATGTAGAGTTCCCTTTGTCTATGAGGACATACGGTTATGATATGAATGAAGGTGTATGAGTGATTGTTTTTTATCTGAAAAATAGTTGAATGATTGTAAGGCATCATCTAGATTCAATAGTAGTTACAAGGGCATATTTTAGATAACTCAAAATTGGACGACCAAGATGTCCGCGATTACTGGTCGTTTAATGTTGGTCCTGGTAAGTAACAGTTGATCTTAGTCAGGAAAGTAGTTACACAATACCATAGATCACTTATTCCTATAGTCGATTTTTTACTTATGGAGCAGCTGAAGACAGTTTTATTGTTAGTTCCGTCTGGTACCGCTAGGATCGTGTTTTTGTTTACAGTTTGTGTCTTCTTATTTCGGTTTTTTAAAACCTCGTTTAACCATATAAAACTTATCATAAACAGTAACTCTTCCCCTAGTTATATAAACAATACAGGCACGAATGAACAAATACAACAGCTTTAGTTCTTATTTAAGTTTGTGGTAGGCCTAAATCACAAATCGTGAAATCAATCCTAAACGATAGAAACAAGATTTTGTCGACACAAGCGCCCAGTGTCACCAACATGAACTAGACACGAAAAACGTGCTTCAAATTTTATCATAGAATATTGGTGTTGGTTAGTTTATGATTATGCTTCTTACAAATTTTCTTCGATTCATATTTTGGTTAGGATACTCGTTACAGTTTCATCCCACTTCCATAATAACTATGTAGATTTAGTCTACTGCTTAAACTTTCATGCAGTTTAAGAAAATCCAGAGAAAAAATCCAAGTTTCGAACAGTCAAAAACTGATAACTTTTCTTACGATCCGGAAACCTAGCCAAACACTCATCTACCTCAATTGAAATGAATAATAGATTCTTAGATAGAGAATAGAATGAAAGATTATTTACTCAACGTAATTATTTCATTGGTAAATTAATTTACATGTTTGAGCAATAATTCAACAATCAGCAATTCAGCATATTACACGTTTTTTTTTCGGAATGGAAAGCCTTCATTAATCACTAATCCTTTCCGAGGTGAATGAATCCGGTTCTATTTAAAGAAGCTCTGCTTAAATTAGCATTTAGACATTCCTAAATTAGGTGATCTGCAGGTTCGGGTGTGAAGGATGTGGAAACGAAAAGTGGGTTTATGAGGCGTCAAATTTTAATTAGTGGTGATAATATCGAAACAGCGTCTGTGACGTTACACCCAGCGGTTCAAAGACGAGGCGTCGTAGGAGTCATTCTGGTACATTGTTCCCACCTAGTTACGCGCGTAATATACAAGAGACACGCAAAAGACGAGCCTACATGGTCCTACTAGCGGTTCAGCAACCTAGTTGAACACATTTTATAGAGGATGCTATCAATTATTCTGCTAATCATTCATTGAATAGAATAGAGCTCAGAATCGTAGAGAACATGTTTTTGTCGTTTTGTTGTTTGTCCACCTTCACAACCCTTCAGTAGACTCCTTCCAATTATCACTTCGGTAAAATCCTTTGGTAATTAGTTGAATTTGAACCCTTTGAACAATTCGGGAGATAGAAGACCCGTGCTCTACAGACCAGTTCGCTTTCCTAGTAGAGAGCAACCTCAAAATATTTTATTTCAATAACCCACTGCATAAACGATTTCGCTACACAGACCATATAGTGTTTTCTTGTATGCTACGGTATTGTTGATGATTGGTTTCCAACAAATTAGGGGCACTCAGCCACCCGCTTATGTCATGTCGAAACAACGGTTGACAAATTCACAATCCTTTTAACGAGTCTTGAAAAACTTTCGATAATATTCTTGTTGTACAAGAAGAATATTATTATAAAATAGAGCAAGCTTGGGATTTAGTTAAAATATCAAATACAGACGACTATTAATATGTTTACTGAAGTTACACGTAGCTAAAATCAGCCTGTAAATGGCTTTATTAGATTCCGATCTTCAATTGTCTATAGCAATTAGTTTCGCTGATTTTAAGATATCAGTTTGATATCCTTTTTAAAATTTTATAATTTTCAAGTCATAACATATTGTGCAACATGTAAACATTTTATAAATGGACTCTCTTATCAGACTTTTATAGATAAATCCCTGTTCCAGGTTTGGTTCCAGAACGCGCGAGCGAAGTGGCGCCGCAATATGATGAGACAGGAGAGCGGTGCTGGGGGGGTCGTTCCTCCCCCCGGTGGCGCACCCCCCTCAGGTCCCCCGTCTGTAGGACCCCCCTCAGTTATCATGGGGGACAGCAGCAGCATGGACGACGTCCATCACCTGCATCACCATCATCACCACCATCTGCAGACGTCACAGACCATCACGTTCGGTGAACTCTACTAGCGCTGGGCTTGTAAATTGTATGTACTCCGATAGGGAATAATGTGCTGGTAAATTTATTTGTTTTGCTGAAATATTTGGTTGAGGTATTGGTAAGCACTGATACCCAGAGGAAAAGCTGTAGTATTATTTCTGCATCATTGTTATTTGGCCAGATAAGAATTTACTGCAATTACACAATAATGAGTGGCTTGAACTACAATCAAACTAAGCAAACAACATACGAGTTGGATTATATGTATAGTTTTCAGAGACTATTTCTATTAATAAACCACGAATAAATAATTATTTATAACTCAATTGTATTAGGAAAAAAACACTATTCTGAACACAATGCACATTAAATCATAATTTATCGTAAAATACATTTTAGAATGAAAAAATAAGTTTTTCTGTACATAACGTTAATTAAAGCAGTTCAGCCATATTTACTATGAAAACTAGGAAATTCACAAATTAGAGCCGCCGAAGGCCATACATTAACTACATCTGAAACCGCCCACCACAGCTATACATTATTGCTAAAAAACTATTTAATTTGATTGCGTCCAAGTACTAATATACCTGTGTATGCAAAACTGGCCAGTATTTGAGTATGCTCCTATTATTATAAACTACGTGACATGACAGTTCCATTGTTCAACAATAAATATGCATAAGAATTGCAAGATTACAAGTAAATTACCTGAATTATTATTATGGTTATATTATCGTGTTTCACTAGTGTATGAAAAAAAGGTGTCTTAAGCGAAATTGAAAACATTTTATAACACCCTTAGTTCCTTTGAAGTCCAAATATCCTAAGTAAGTTTTTTAGTTTTATAAACTATTTTATTTCAAATATTATTAAGTTATGCATTAATATATCCATGTTTTAAGTATTATTATGTATTTTAATTATTGATTTTATGTGTCAAACTCCACAAGATCTTTTGCATAATAATTAATGCAAAAATGTATGATAAATTACCTGCTTTAAACATGTCAAATATGATTGGGAATGGATCACTCAAAACATTGTTTACTGAGAAAATGAAATTTTCAACTGTACAGGTCCTTGGTAGTGATATAAACCGTCAAGCTGCATTCTTAGCATAGTCTAGAATACAAAATAAGTAGGCCTACCTCAATGTTAAACTCGTAAGTCATAGTTACACAATACACGATGCGATTATCGTATCGACATTCATTTTACGATTTATCGGATCGAAATTGTAGATTACACAATGTATAGTACGATCATTGACTATGGATATTGAAGTATATATTCCATCTATATGTATAAGCTGTACCTTTTTATCGAACAAAACATAGTTCAGTAAGCCTTCCATAGAGTAAGCAACTGTAAAATATTATCTTTTGCATTTGGTTTTTTTACTGCGAGATTTGATGGAGCCAAGAAAGATGTCACAGTTCACAATAAGTAATTAACTTATTTTAGCATGATTGGAAAGTTGTTATTGACAAATAACATAAACAATGTTCACTTTTATTTACGTCAACAAAGCAAAGGTCTTTTGAAAAAGAAGAACACAAATGTTTGACCTTTTGTGGTTGAGTAGTAATTATGACGTAAATTTGGACAAGATGTATAAACAGATATTCTGGGCCAAATAGTGGTAATAGAAAAATATGGCATTTACAAAAGAATGAACTACATAAGCTATAACTGTATGTACTGATGGCTTAATTGAACTAAACTCTTTGGCTACAACTTTAACATATGCACGGAATGTATTCTTCGATAGTGTATCTATGGTCAAGGATACAATGTAGTAAGATATACTATGTGCAATTGTCATGTTCCTATAAAGATACACTAGCTGTTAAATGTCGACCGACTATAACCTCGTATGATCAGTATTAACTTGTCTGATACCATTGTCGTTTTACATAACTGATACATTAAATATAATAAAACAAGCGATGTGTTTGGTATTATTTCCTAACCTCATTTGCATGCAATTTAATGTTCATCATAGAATTTAATCTTTGACTATAAACGTTAAGACTATATGGGACATAAAACAAAACAATGTATAGCGAGACAATGGAAACCAAGTATAGTCTGTATGATGGAACCTGTCTCCTGGTCCTACGTCACTGGGACTGGCCCGAGCCGACATGAGTCAGGTGACAGGTTTAATAATACACACTATAGATACCGCCACGTGTCAATAGATCGCAGCTTTATAAAAAAAATGACGTTCTACAGGGTAAAAGTATTGAATTTCACAATAATCACATAGAAAGTAAAAGTTTTGAAAATATTTTTGATACATCAAACCGCAAAGTGAAAACACTTGAAATGTTCAATTTAATTAAATGCAAATTTTTTACAAAACAGAAACATTTTACAGACAGATATACGGTGCACATCACATTTAAATTTACAATTACTGTACTTATAGTTTAAGATGGCTATAGAGGATTACTGACGCTTAATTTAGACTATGTCCACGATCTAAAACAAAAAAATGTATGCAATAATAATTTTGATGATTATAATAGGAAATAAATTAGATCCCGAAATCTAATGCTCCTATGGGATGACCATCACAAATTTAAACTTGCTGAGAAAGTGACTAAGAGCGGAATAATGTACACAAGGAGAAAATATATGTTAAAGGATTATATTAAGTACTACCATATGTATCCTTAAGGAACATATTTTCCTTAAGAAATAATTCTAGAAAACACGTAATATCGACGTAATTGCTTTTGAAAACACAAATAGCTAAAATAAATATACGAAACATTTTTATATGATAATATAAATTCTGCCAACATAATAACTTGGGACATGAAAGAAATTCAGCTAAAATAACTATATAATCAGTCAGACATATTTGTAAAGATTATACGGATTAAAAGAAATACCAAATCACCAAAAGAATGTTTACAATTATCTGAACGTTTCACACAAATATTCACAATCCTCCAAAGAATGTAAAACATTTCGCAAACGCCCCAACCATTCATTTATCGTTCCACAATTATCTACTTGGACTGATAAACGAATAAATAAACAAGGATTACTATATGAATAGCAATGCTAAAAGTTATTTAAAAATAGTCTTGGAACTTTCTCGAAAACATTTAGTATCATATACCTTTTATCATAGGTACAATTTTGTATTGAAATTCTTACATACGTAAACAAATTTAAAAAACTTACAGACATATAGGTCATAGGGTTTTAATTTGAATAATTTTAAACCAACTAAAAAGTGGCCAGGGATAATCATTCTCAGAAACATTGGCTAAGATGCGGATAAGAGTTTTCTGTAATGAAATGATGGGATTAAAGTTGATACATGATATGTCCAACCCTACAATATAAGCCCATAATTTAGCATTGACCCAAAAGAGATACACATTTACCTTAACCCTTGCTTGACATAATGTTAAAGCAAATAAATATTTTCTTACATTTTGGGCAATTAGATTTTTTTACTTTATTTATAGTATTTTCCTTGTCAAGTTTTGTATCAATAAAATGGTCTAAATCATCTCTACCTTACCAATTCTCAGACAGTTATGGTTATCGTTATCACTGTCCAAACAGTAAAATTGTGGTTTATCACTTCTTCTTCATACATTGTGTAAAAAGTAATTTAGGTTATTCAGTTTAGTTCAAAAAACATTTTTATTAAATAAGCTAGTTATAAGCTTCAAGGTTCTAAGTCTTTTCAGGTATATCTTTGACATACTATTATCAACATAGGTTAACAAAAGCAGTGACTCAACCATAGCACTTCCCATTACAAAAATCGTTACATATATAAAAAACAAACCTGTGATTGTATGCATTATTTAGAATCCATCCATCTTATTATATTAAAACATAAAAAGAATAAATATAAAAGAACTCACACGTTTAGAGATATATTTTCAAGCATGGACACTGTGCTTTATAGTATCGTGTCCTGGAGTTTTGTTATACTTTAATTCTTGCATAAAACTCAAAACTTCTTTCCTCAGAGTTTTGAGAATTATTATGAGGGGGAAATGACTCTTACACTTTTCACACTATGAACTTTAATATCTAACTTAGAATTACAGATTGAATATTATTTCTAAAAGATCTTATTGAAGTAATTTGTTATTGTTTGTAAGACTTACTTCCTGTACCCCAATTTCAGAAATACATGCTCTTACTTTTCTAAAACAGATAAAAAAAAACTATTAAATACAAATAAATACTGAATCAACAAAACGTAGTTCGGACTTTGAATGCAACCATGATACCGGCCTAGCCACTTGCAGATCACAACCCGGCTTAGTTGATAATGGGACAATGCAATGGGAAATAAGTAATGAACTGAGACTAATATAAAAAGGTAAAATGTTTAAGTACCTACTGTATTCTGTATGGATGTTAATAAGCAATGATATCAGTCATTTGCGGAATGGAACGAGAATTATTTAGTATCGAGAACCAGCATGGGATAGTTAGCTAATGCTTTTAATGTATAAATCACTTAAAATATACAATTACAACTGAAAAATTATACAAAACCTGAGAAATCAAAATATAAAAAGAATAAACGCCGTAAGAAGATGATCAATGAGTTAGTTAGTTATTTGTTGGGCAAAATGCTTGGCATCATAAATTACGATTTTTCTTAAACAAACGAGATACATGATTAAATTTTGAAGGAAAATGTCAAGTTAAAACCTAATTGTTTAAATAAGAAGAAGGAACAGGGAAAACATACAAACTGTGTTGGGTTTATATTATTTATATACTTTGATCTAACGAGGTACATGTTCTCTTTATTACGTTCTTTAAAAGTCTTCATCAGTAGTAGCCATATCAGATTTTAGCATTGACTATATAAAACTATAAGAGCAATGGATTGAGGTATTAAAATTAAGGTTTAGTGGTCTAAAAATTTAGAGGTTTAAAAATATAAATTTATTAAAAAGCTTGCAATAATTGTTTACAAACTTCAGAGTGTACTTATCTTTGTTTATCAAACTTATAGCATGATCACCAATTTTTTATGAGAAAAAAAAACAGATAACCGTAGACGTGTCACCCATAAAAACGTAAACTACCACACTAACCACAATAATTGTAAGAAAAATCTATTTTTTTTATCTTAACCGGTTAGAGGATATTTAGTGTTTTGAATCTACTCGGATGCTTGCCCCACCGCGCCGATTAATTTTTGTCAGATTGTATTGAT